ACAACGACGACGTTGTGCAGCACGTTCGCGCGGTGGAGCGGCGGCGATGCGGCGGTGTTGAGACCATCGCTGCCGTCGCCCACGTCCTCCCCGACGCCGCCGGCGAGGCGCTGCTGCTGGTGGTCGTACAGCTCCACGGCGGTGTGGCGCAGCGAGTCGATGACGGCGACGGGGTCCAAGTCCGGCGAGTCCTCCGGCGCGCACTCCTCCAGCTCGGGGTGGTCGTGCTTCAGCGTGTTCAGCACACGCGCAAAGACAAAGTCGAAGGTGAAGAACACAATCAGCTCCACCGACGCTAGGAGCAGCGCGAAGGAGTCCGACATGTCGCTACGCCCTGCTTTATTGCTAGTCTTCTCGTGGCTTTCTACACCCACAGACGTCCTCTCTCCTTTAGTCTCCCGCGCCCTGTGTGTGTGTGTGTGTCTTCGTTTATTAATACGCGTTCGCTCCACAGCTGCAGCGCCGCAGCACGCCAACACACACACACACACACGCACCAAGAGAAACAACAACAAAGAAGGGAGACAAANGAAGAGGGAAGTCACGTGTGAATGGAACGAAAAGAATAGCGCCGCCCCGCCTCTTCTGCAGCAGCAACACGACACAAAGACAGGAACAACTGAAGCAGGGACACGTTCCTCACGCCAGCTCCACCTCAGCGCCGTGTCCTTCAAACAGTTTCTTGAGTTTCTCCGCGTCTGCCCGCGGCATCGCCTTCGCGACGATGCCGGGACACTTCTCCACCGCCGCCTTTGCCTCCTGCAGCGGCAGCCCAGAGACCGCCCGCAGCTCCTTGATGAGCTTCACCTTGTTGGCCGCCGGGTACTTCCTGACCGTGACGTCAAACGCGTGCTTCTCCGCAGCCTTCTTCGCAGGTGCCGCTTCTGCCGCTGCTGCAGCCGAGGGGGCGCTGGGAGCTGCAGAGGCGCCCACAACACCATTGCTGCTGCTACTTACGCTACCAATGTGGCTGCTGCCGGACCCCATGCCTTGCAGCAGCATCTCCTCGTACGACGGTGGCGTGGTGCCATGCGGGCACGCGGTGCCCTTCACGACGATCTCGTGGAACGTTCTCATCGTTGCGAGGTTCATGCTGACGTACGCCTCGGCGAGGGCCTCAACGGTGTCGGCGCTGTCCCGCAGCTGGAACGCATGCATCCCGCGCGGCAGCACGGCACTCGGCACCCCAACAGTGAAGCAGCGCCGCCGCAGCACCGCCCCCGTAGGGACTCGCAGCCGACGCATATAGCTCATTCCGCGCACTCTACGGCTGTGGCATGCCACGCCAGGCATCACGGGGGCGAACGAGAAGGAGAAGGAGAGAAACACACACACACGCACCCATGCAAAGGAGGAAACAGGTGAGGCGCAGCTGAAACGTCAAGGCGTGCCTGCATTTCCAATGGGGTTGCTCCTTGTCCGATGGGGAAAAGAAACCGAAAGAAAAGGGGGAAGAAGAAGCCTTCGTGGTTGCAGAAGCGACATTGGCGCTTTCCAGCACAAAGGAAACGGTACGGCGGAAGGCGCTTTTCTGCCATCTGTGCTCATTCCTACACGGGTGTGACACTCACTTTTACTCTTTCTTTGCCCCTCGTTCTGACCCCGCTCCTCCTCCTCCGTCTCTTCTTACGTCGTGCAAGTTATGGTGATGCAGAAGCTGCGTCCGCCTTCCCCTCCGGCGGTGGCGGCGGCGGTGCAGCGGCCGTCGACGATGCCGACAACGGCGGCGGCACCGACGACGACTTCTCCCCACGTGTGGAGCGCCGCGGGGTGCGCTGCAGGTACGGGTCCTGGCTGAGCTGCTGCACGTCGTAGCGCTCCGACGGGTGGTACTCGAGGCACTTCTGTATGAGCTCCTTCGCCTCCTGCGACACCCGCGGCGTGTCGGGGAAGCGCAGCGTGCGGGCGGAGGAGACAATGAGCTTGTCCTGCCAGATGCGCCGCTGCGACTCGCCCTCCGCGAATGGGCGCCTGCCAAAGAGCATCTGGTAGAAGACGACGCCGCACGACCAGACGTCCACCTTGTTGCTGATGCGCGGCGTGGCGGCGGTGTCGAAGCACTCGGGCGGCAGGTACCAGTACGTGCCGGTGCCCTGCGACGTGAGCTCGATGGTGGGGTTGTCGCTGGGCCCGTCGCGGCTCTGGAGGAGTTTGCTGAGGCCGAAGTCGGTGATCTTGATCTCCAGACTGCATGTGTCGCTCGAGTGGAAGAGAATGTTCGCCGGCTTGAGGTCGTAGTGGATGATTGGCTGCTCCTGCGCCGCGAGGTAGCGGAGGGCGCTGATGATCTGTAGCAAAATGAGGCGCGCCTCCGCCTCCCGCATGCTGCCGTAGCGCTTGAGGTGCGTGTCGAGGTCGGTGCCGCTGCTGAACTCCATGACCGACACGAATATCGACTCGCCGTGCTCGAACTCGTCGTAGAGCCGCGTGAGGTGCGGGTGGCGCAGCGTCCGCATGATCGCCAGCTCGCGGTCAGCGTGGCGGCTGTAATGCAGCCGCGTCTGCGCCGACCACTCACGCTGCACGCGGTGGATCTTGCACGCGACGTAGCGCGCCTCCTGCAGGTCGAACGCCTTCCACACCTCCGAGAAGCCGCCCTTGCCGAGGAGGTGCATTAGCACGTAGCGCTGCTGCTGCCCAATCGCCGGCACCGCAACGAACTCCGACGCGTCCTCGTCGCCCACGCGGCGGATCTCCTTCAGGAACGCCTTCTTCTCGTGCTCGAGGTCGAGTTGTCGCTGCCGCACCGCCTGTATGCTGCTGCCGAGCGCGGCGTACTCCGTGGCGTACAGCTGCAGCGCCTCCTGCGCCTCCAGCAGTGCGCTCTGCGTCTCCGGTGCGGTGGAGTCCTCGTCGGCGCTGCGGCCAATCTGCCGCGTGCGCTTCTCCGCGGCCTTCTTGAGCTCTTCCACCTCGTCGCGGCGCGCGGTGAGCTCCTCGAGCTGCGCCATGAGCGCCTTGGGCGTGTTGCCCTCCACCCACACCTCGCGGCCGCCGCTGTGCCACAGCGCGATCTGCCCGAGCT